TATCCGCCGCCGCCAATCGTCACGCATGGAGAGGTACCGTTCATGACATCATTGAGGCCGGTAGATCAGGCATGATCACAGCCTTAATAGGTACAAGTACGTCAGGGTATGCTTTCCACCTGAAAAGAAGGAACTTTCGTACTTCCACTGCTAGAACTTTTGCGTGTAAATGATAAGGAGACCTATTTAATATGTAGAGGTTCTTCTACCGTGTGCCAGAAAATGAATGGGTGGATGCAGGTTGAATAGTATGACAAAAAAAAGTAAAAATGTTTTGCCAAAAGGTCACCCACCTGTAGCTCAAAACTTTGTTATTTAAGTTTCTACGTCAGCAACTCATAGGTACATGCGGAACCTGTGAGCATTGTATGAAAGGGAGAAGTAAAATAAAATAAAACGAGAGTGCAATGGAAAAATGCTAGACGTTTATGATTTTCTTGTATCGCCTAGTGGAGGTGGTGCCCTACGCCAACCCTGATTGATTATCTCAAACGTATTCTTGATTTTTTTTTTATAAAAACGGTAGCGTTCAGACCGTCTGAATTTTGGCTTGTGTTGATCAACCAGTCCATCTTGTTTTGGTGCACCCACCGTAGCGTTCAAAATACCCTAACTAACAACCAATTTCCTTTTAATAAGAATTTATCATTTTTTGGGAGGGGGAAAATAATTACAACTTATATTGCTATATCCTATAATTTTGTCAGTAGCTGAGCAATAAGATTGTCAAATTTCTCATCTTCACGTGGTGATTGTGTAAGACACTTGGACTTTCCTGCGAGCATGCGGTCTTTGTACGTGGTTGCAGATCAGCAGGTACAGGCAGATTACGCCGGATTACACGACATATTCGAGGTCTTCACGAGCGAGCTAGCAATGTCTATAATGCTAGTAAAACTAATAGTACCGCGAATAATAATACTGAGATTACTAATAAGTTAAAGTACTAAGACTAAAATACTGATGATAGAAATAGTATATCAATACTAATAATGATACTTGTGCCAAGCATACTTGGTAATACAGGTAAGTAATGCACTATAACGCAAACAGTCTCACTTATCTACCGGAAGTGAACGGTCGCCCAGGTATCCTACATATCAGCCCAGATGAGGCCTAGGACGCGCGTAAGCTTGTTATTCTTAATTCTTTTATTATAGCCTAGTTCTCCTAAC